GGTCTCTTGTTCAGGCAGCAGCATTCAAGCGTGGTCTTATTCGACCGTAAGTGCCCTGCGAAGTGGACTTCACATGAATCATCGATTAATCATCGATTAATCGTTGACATCCCTAATTAGGGGTGTAACGATATTATCAATATAATATATTGATAGCAAAATTGTCTCGACAATATCGTGGTACCGAAAGCACAATATGGATTAATCCCTTCAAGTCTGGTTTAGCTGCGTGTTTCAAAGCGAAGCGCACACTTCATTCAGACGATCAGCTCGTGATCTGGTGTTTTCTGTGCCTCAGATCGGCTCTGTTCACACTGAATGAATGCAGTGAACTCGTTTATTGTGATCCGGTGTTTTCCACGTCTCAGAACGGCTCCGTTCACACTGAATGAATGCAGTCAACTCGTTTATTGCATGTGCTGTGAGTTTAGGAACACATAAGCCACCAGTTCTGCTTTATTTTCACGCCAGGTGATTACGCCATTTCACTAGATTTGTATTGAGACGCGTTTTTGTTTTTGTAAGCCTGTTTTGACTGAAGCTGGAGTTTTCCTTCAAAATAAAAGCTTAAAAGTGCAGCATTAATTGCTGACAGCTAGCGGTTTAAATGCAGTCCAAATTCAAAATATCTATTTCAAATGTCGCATAGCGTATGTGACGTTTCGAGCACGCAGGCTCTTCATCAGACAAATGAACAACACTGATATCCCAATCTTTATAGGCCTACCTCCAGGTGATCAAAGGTCACATGACCGTACAATATTATCGTGATAATAATAATACCAAAACAATAACATATCAACCAAGGAGAAAAACATAGAAACCAAAATAAGAAAATAAAAATAAATAAAAAACATATAGAGCTATGCAAAATACATGAATATAATTATCAATATATTGTTTAATAACATTAATTGATGCCTGCCTGGGTATATAAATACAAATCAACAACCACAAAGTGTTTATTATATGTAGATAGATATCTTGTGTTTAAAGAAATGGACGAATATCAAAGTCCTCATTTAATCCTCTAGGGGACAATGTGTCTAGTGTATAAATCCGGAAGGCTTCGCGCTGTAAAAGCAATTTGTTGATATCACCTCCGCGACGCGGACACTTCACTACCTCAATGCCTATGTACTGAAGAGTTATATTCGTGTATTTTGCATAGCTTTATATGTTTTGATTTATTTTTATTTCTTATTTTTGTTTCTATGTTTTTCTCCTTGGTTGATATGTTATTGTTTTGGTATTATTATTATCACGATAATATTGTACGGTCATGTGACCTTTGATCACCTGGAGGTAGGCCTATAAAGATTGGGATATCAGTGTTGTTCATTTGTCTGATGAAGAGCCTGCGTGCTCGAAACGTCACATACGCTATGCGACAGTTTTTTTTTTAAATAAATGTTTTGATAACTTAAAATAATTTTTTAATTTTAAACATTTTTCCACTTGTTTCTCAGTCGAGCACCCAGTTGAGATCGATGTGCGTGCTTTTGCCCGCTCTTCATTTATTTTACAGTGCAATTGTTTTATGGCTTCTGCTGTCATTGTTGTTGTTATTATTATAATATGTTCTAATTTGTTTGGCTTCCTAAAACACCAGTGTGAATGTAATTTAGACTGAGACAATAGATCACAAATAAATAGAGGGTTGAGTCCTCTTTAAAGTTCAGCTACAAGTCAATTCACTGACTTTTTTCTGACTTAAGTTTTAAGAACATGGGTTGGAGCTTTTAATTTTGAATTCTCAAAGTGCATTAGGCAGAATAATTTAATTTTAAAATGTACAAAATTTTCATTTTTTCCCAATTCTTCATTTGTCTTTTTTTTTCTTTTTTAAATATCGCAAAAAATATCGTATCGTGGACTTCATATCACAATAATGTTGTATCGTGAGATTTTGATATCGTTACATCCCTATGAGCTACTGTCCATATTATAGAGCTGCACTAATGTTCTCCTTCCTCCAGAGGGCGTCTCTCATGAAGAGAGTTGGAGCTTCTATCCCAATGCTGTCCGTACGGCCGGCTTCTGTGGAAACCCGTCGTTCCACTTATATTGGCCCAACAAGAACCAAGACGGGTCGCACAATATCCTGGCGACCCGAGAACTCATTGTTCAGCCTGGATACATCTTACAGTTCAAGGTTTGAGCACAAGATGTTTGAGATCAGGGGCAGCGCTAAGGGGGCTGAAGCCCCGAATGTTTTATTACCAAGCACTATACGCATCATCACTAAATTTTCATGCGCATTAAAATCATTTCTATTAGAACCGCAGATGTTCTCTACATTCCATTCTCTCGTTCACTCCCGTCAAGAAGTGCTTGAGGCTCGAACTTCTGACCAACTGGCCAACCATTGATAAAAGGTTACAGCAGCTGCTTCAGGTATCTGTAACTGAGTGTAGGCTATAACTTATCGCTATAATACCGATCTCGCCATTTGTCAAATTAGGTTATTTGTTACTGAACACTGTCACTGTGAAGCAACAAATATAGATATTTAATCATAGAATTATATGCAGTCTTCCGTGGACACACACGGGTTTAGAGCGATTATATGAACGGTTTGTTCGGCATGCATGGTTAGTGGCAGACTTTTCTTCGTGTCAAGGCAACAAATATTAAGTGGCTTAAATTGTAGAGACAATATTGCCTTTTTTGCTCTATTTCGGTAACGAAAATGGTTGCAAACAAAGCCATGTTGTGCGTCTCTGCAGCAACACACACTCTGCAGCGGTGTTTCCTTACTGAATGAATTTTGCGTTTTTGAACAAATCGGTTGATTCAATGATTCACTGATTCATTCATAAAAACGGTTTCTTGCCCTGCGTCCCAATGTTCATACTATCCATCCTAAATAGCATGTGAGATAAGAATAAGTGTTACTTCGTTCCTGAATGAATTAGCCGTTTTGAAAGAATCGATTGAATAAATGACTCAGCGACTCACTTATTAAGACAGTGGCTTGCTGCCACCTATTGGCAATTTTAGTTTCACATTTATAAGTATCATTCTATTTTTTTCTCTCATTTCATATTTCTATATTAAAACATTAATCTCATAACATTATTTATGCAATTTTTATGTGCAGTATAAATGCATGTACAAGTGCCATAAATAAGTGTATGGAGCCCTGCATGTTTAATTATACTTACGTTTATAAGTTTATACCGTGTATTCAGACACATATGGATGTCTCTGGGCTAAGCCCCAGATATCTACTCCCCCTATTACCACCCCTGTTTGAGATCATTCAGTTTTCACACAGAAACACACAGATATACAGTGACTCTGGTCTTTGTCCACTTTAGATTGTGGTTGGCTGTGAGGCAGACCGATGTGATGATCGTCATTCAGTGCTTGTACAGTACAGGAAGGATGCCAGGTGAGTACAGGCAACAGATGTGCATGTGTAGCCCCCTTCACTCCTGAAGGATTATCTGTATGTACTGTAACTTCATACAGTCGTAACTTCATGAAGTCGTGGCCTAATGGTTAGAGAGTCGGACTCGTAACCCAAAGGTTGTGGGTTCGAGTCTCGTACCGGCAGGGATTGTAGGTGGGGGGAGTGAATGTACAGCGCTCTCTTCCTCCTTCAATACCACGACTGAGGTGCCCTTGAGCAAGGCACCGAACCCCCAACTGCTCCCCGGGCGCCGCAGCATAAATGGCTGCCCACTGCTCCGGGTGTGTGTTCACGGTGTGTGTGTGTTTCACTGCTGTGTGTGTGCACTTAGGATGGGTTAAATGCAGAGCACTAATTCCAAGTATGGGTCACCATACTTGGCCACATGTCACGTCACTTCACTTCACTTTTATCTTTTGCATGGGTGTCCAATCCTAGTCCTGCAGAGTTTAGCTTCAACTTGTCCCAACACAACTACCTGGGAGATTCTAGTAGTCCTGCTGAACTTGGTTCAGGTGTGTTTAATTGGGGTTAGAGCTGAGCTCTGCAGGACAGTGGCCCTGAAGGCGCAGGATTGGACACCCTGATCTATTGTCAAAGCCCAGTGTTAATGGCAGTTATCTTTTGAGAGAGAGGAAGGGGAGTAGGAAAAGAAAGGAAGAGGTAATATGTTGTCTAGTAATGAAGTTCCTTTCCTCCACAGGTCAGACGTGTGGCAGTTAGTCCAGTCCGCCTGTCTCCCTTCTTCTGCCAACAACGTGGGCTGCTCACCCTTCCAGTTCCACGAGTCCACGATCTACAGTCCTGTCAACAGTTCAGTGTGGACCAGAGTCACCATTCAGCTGCCTGACCATGTGTCATCTGGGTATGGCTTATAGGGTCCCTAAATGATCCCTTAAATGGTCTTTTTGAGAGATTGCATTATAGGGATGTAACAATATCAAAATCTCACGATACGATAATATCACAATATGAAGTCCACAATACAACATTTATTGCAATATTTAAAAAAAACAGACAAATTTAAAGTTAAATCCTTCCATCTAATGCACTTAATGCAGAGTTAAAAAAAAAGAAAGATCCAACCCATGTTCTCAAGTTCCAACCCAACTAAGAAAACTTAAGTCAGAAAAAAGTCAGTGAATTGACTTGTAGCTGAACTTTAAAGGGGACTCAACCCTCTTTTTAGTTGAGGTATGCTGTCTCAGTCTAAATTACATTCACACTCTTTTTTTTTTTTAGGAAGCCAAACAAATTAGAATATATTAATATTAACAATTTTATATTATTGTTATTCCTATGACAGTAATAGCCATATATTGTAAAACAATAGCACTGTAAAATAAATGAAAATGAATATTTCATAGGTTTATTATCTTTGCTTTACACTACACTAGGGAAATATAGAATAATAATAATAACAGTGACAGCCATATATTGTAAAACAATAGCACTGTAAAATAAATGAAAATGAATATTTCATAGGTTTATTATCTTTGCTTTACACTACACTAGGGAAATTACAATACTTCTTTCCTAATTTCTACACTTGAAATAGATATTTTGAATCTGGACTGCATTTAAACCGCAAGCTGTCAATTCATACTGCACTTTAAGCGTTTATTTTGAAGGTAACGGCAGCAGAGCTTTTATCTTAAAGGAAAACTCCAGCTCCAGTGAAAACAGGCTTACAAAAACATGTCTCACTACAAATCTAGTGAAACGCTGTAATCATTTGCCGTGAAAATAAAGCCTAACTGGTGGCTGTTGTGTTCCCAAACGAGCGCTAAACTCACAGCACATGAAATAAACGAGTTGACTGCATTCATTCAGTGTGAACAGACCATTCTGAGACGCAGAAAACACCGGATCACGAGCTGATCGTCTGAGCGAAGTGTGCGCTTCGCTTTGAAACGCAGTGAAAACAGACTTGATGAAGGGATTAAGCCATATTGTGCTTTCTGTTTTAGGTCGTTTGACAGATACTGTGCCAAAGCATAATGGCCCAAAACACAACTTTAAAGACCTTTTATGTTAGAATAAGAAGTTAAAATATATTTAAAAACTACACTTTTTGCCCGGAAGACCTATCGTTTCATATCGTCATGTGACCACGATAATATCGAGATAATATCGTTTTGCTATCGCAATAATGATAATATCGTTAGATCCCTTGTGTTAAAGTCTTTACTTTGATTTGAACAGATCACTGAGTCAGTGAGTTGAACTCAATAAACGAATCAGTGACTGAATCGTTCTTTTTCTTCCAATAAACCAGTTGATCAGGTTCATGAATCAGAATGAAGAATAGATCCAGATGACTGAATTATTCTTTTGTGAATTGTTTATGAATCAAATTCAGTTCACTGACTTTTGGTCTGTTCATCACACAGAACATTATATGACTTCATTAGACTTGGAATATTGTGCATGATTCATATGATGACTGTTAATTATAATGTGTTTGTGGTGTTTTTATGAATCATCTTTTTAAAGCTCTGAATCTCCTTTTGTGTTTCGCTGAAGAAATTAATTTCTGGTTGAACTGTTGCTTTAAAGAGAGAAAGCGACAGCGTGTAGGATGTTGAGGTAGTTAGTTCAGGGTTCCTACGCGGTTTGGAAAAATATGAATTTTGATATAAATAATTTCCAGGTCTGGAAAGGTATTAAAAAAGAAAGCAGAGTATGAAAAAATATTTGCATTTCCAGACTTATGCCCCTATTACATTTTTTTTTTTTTATCATAGAAAATTACGAATTTCATGAAAATAAGTTCATCATACAAGAAGTGTTTTCATGGCAGCTGTTCAGTGATTCTTTAGTGATTGTCAAACACGACTGAATGAATTCAAGGTGCACTTTTTATTATGCAAAATGTTTTCATTTTGGGTTTCTTCTCACGATATTCTCTGCACCGTATGACATAGCCTCAAGGACCGTTGCAAAAATAAAAAATATATAGACTTTTATGTGTGCACGAGAAACCATTAAACTTGGCATATAGGACAGCGGTCACCAAACTGGGTCCTGGAGGGCCGGTGTCCTGCAGAGTTTAGCTCCAACCCTAATTAAACACACCTGAACCAGCTAATCAAGCTCTTACTAGATATACTTGCAATTTCCAGGCAGGTGTGTTGAGGCAAGTCAGAGCTAAACTCTGCAGGACACTGGGCCTCCTGGACCCAGTTTGGACACCCCTTATATAGGACAATGCACACTGAGCCACCTGTTGTGCCATCAGCCCATTTAGCGGTGTGGTGTCTTGACCGCCACAGAGTATGCATTAAAGAGACCTAAGGCCTTGAAATATGATATACTGCCCTAACGAAAGCACATTTTGAACACTTTTTTTGCAATACTAGTCTTTTTTTATAGACCCTTGAACTTGGCAAACAGGACAATGCACACAGCCATATTATGCAATCAGCCCATTTCGTGTCATGGTTTTTCCGCCGCTGCAGAGGATGTGTTAAACTGGACATTAGGCCTTGATATTAGAGGTACTACCATTAGGAAAGCCAAATTTTGAGCAGGTAGATCTCTGTTAATTCATATGCATCCATGCTCTCGCTTTATTCATAGTAAGATGGCAGTGATGCACAAAGGAAATATAAAAGTAGAAATTGTAATGTGTAAGCGTGCAAAAAATTCCCATGCGCAGGTGAATAGTTTCTTGAGGGCACAAAAAAGTTTGAGAAAGTCTGTATTTTTTAATGATTATTTTTTATTGTTGTCACTTTGAGAAAATCAATGAAAAATCACTGAAGAAATAAGAATATTAACAGATGACTGTACTATATACCACATATAAAGCTGAAAATAGTGCTGCATTAACTATTTATGTTAAATATGGTCCGAAAATCTACTGAGAGTTTGGAAATTTGAGTCTGGAAAAGTATGGAATTTTGAAATGGAAAATGTGTAGGAACCCTGTTAGTTGTTAAAAGGACTTATCCTTAAGCTGGTCTCAGGTATTCAGGCATTAATGCACATGTCTATAAATATCTGACTCTCCTTGATGTCTTCAGTGCGACACAGTTTCGCTGGATCCAGCACGAGGCCCCTGGCGAGCGCTACAGCTGGGCCGTGGATCACGTGTACATCGGGGAAGCGTGTCCTGGACTGTGCAGCGGTCACGGCTACTGTACCAGCGGACCCGTCTGCATCTGTGACGAAGGCCATCAGGGTGGGCATCAGTTCTCTATAACTCTGTGATTCCGTGAAGTTTACAACAGAACAAACAGGAACAGGTTTTGTCTTTCTCAGGTGATGACTGCTCTTTGTCCAGCAGTGAACTGCCCAGCTCTATAAAGGATAACTTTGAGTCTGGTTCGGTGTCTCAGGAGAGCTGGAGTTTGATTCAGGGCGGCGGCGTGGGCAGCGGATGCGGTCAGCTCTCTCCTCACGCTCACGGGGACTCGCTGTACTTCAACGGCTGCACGATCAGACAAGCCATCACTAGACCTCTGGATCTGACCCGTGCTAGGTACAGCAAGAAATATTCAAGACATCCTTTTGTTTTCTTGCTCATTTCAGTCATAGATACAATCAGTCACCATCCTCTCAACATCTCTCTCCTCCAGTAAGATCATGTTCGTGCTGCAGATAGGCAGCGTGTCGCAAACAGACAGCTGTAACGCTGCACTGGATCAGGCGGATACGGTCGACCGGGCCGTGCTTCTCCAGTACAGCGTCAATAACGGAGTTACTTGGCACGTCATTGCTCAACACCAGCCAAAAGATTTCATCAAAGCCCAGAGAGTGTCCTACAACATCCCACTGTGAGTCTGCAAACATGCATTACACAAATTCCATTATGTTACAAATAATGCTGAATTGTGTTGTTCCTGTAGCTCCAACAGTAGAGTACGGTGCTAACAACATCAAGATCATGGGTTCAGTTCCCATGGGGTGCATTAACTGGTAAAATGCATACCTCGAATGCGATGTAAGTTGCTTTGGATAAAAGCATCTGTCAAATGTGTGAATGGCTTGTGTTCAGTGTTCTTGTTTGAAATTCAGTTTGAGAAAACATCAATGTATTGGAAGAATGAGGCCAACAAGTGACTGCGCTCTGATTTAGACTGCAGGAGGAAGAAGAACAGGATGTGATTTATTTGTTTTCAGCTGACATCATCTATTCAATATCTATTGCAAAGTAGAATATCTAATTACGTTCCACATAGCCAAATGCTAAGTCTGCTGGCAGCGATGGTTGTGCTGGAAAGAAGTTGGATTTAATTTCAACAGCCTTGAATATGAAGTGCTGGGGAACACTAAACTCCTGGAGCGCCGAGAAGGTTCTTGTAGTCTGGAACATGCAGATGAATGTAGCTTTGAGGTGACGGTTCTGAAGTCCTGAAAATCTAAAACACGCAGATGGAGGAGCCTTGAAGGCAATGTTGCCGGGCAAGATGTTGTTACTGTCTCTGAACTTGTATCTCCAAACTCCCTGAACTCAGAACACCTCCCAAACTTAAAGTAATTCACTTCTGGTCTGAGAGAACTCTTTTTCTGAACAATTTTTACACCTTCCTCAAAATAAGGTGATATTATTTGCATTTGAAGTTCACAGTTAAAACAGTGTCTTCATGATTTTACCTGTGCATTAATCACTTTCCGAAAGACTTCCAAAGTAATCTAGGCAATGTGCTGAACGCATAGATTTCAAACATTATTCACTTATGCATTCATGTACCTTAATACCATAGGTTCTTGATAGAATGTATAAACATTGTTGTGTCACTAACAGTCCTCATTAAGCGTATACTGTTCTCTAGATGGATATGAAGAGAATGTGCTCCATTTTATTTCTGTTGTGTGTAGAAGTATGCAAGTGAAGATCTGTCATAACACTATACTTCACTATACTCCTCGCTCCAGCTTGTGGACAGTGTGTGTGAAGCAAGTAAGACACATATGGTCAATAGAGTATACTTAGAAGGTCTTGCACACTCATTTGACACTAGAACAAGTAAAATTAAGTGTACTCAGGCCTTCTCTCCTATGTCAGCTGCATGGTCAGGTAAGTTAGGTACTTGTTTTTCCTGGGAGTTCTGTAGAGTTTATCTGATTTTAAGGATAAGAATCAGGGGGAACAAAGCAGTTCATGTTATTGGAGTCACAATGTGCTCGTGTTAACACCCCTTGCTCTTCCCAAAAGATAGTGGATTCTTAAAGGCAAAAGGTATCTGTTTGTCTATTACAGCACTTACCGTAGTTGTTGGTTAAAAAAAAAAAGGTTTATATGAAATGGACCTTACCTAGGCAGACCATCAGTTCATCCAATCTGGGCATGGGGTACATGTTGAATTTGGAGATGTCATTCTGTTTCTGGAAATGCAGAATCTGTGGCTTTGTGTCTATCATGATGGAGCTGATCCATGGGCTTTTCAATGTTTCAGTTGCACTCATACATAACATGCACTGTACCTGTTTGCCTCAGAAGGGTCACTGGCTAATGGTGACTCCAGGAATGTTAATGATTTATTCTTTCGTAGTGTTTACCAACCTTTTTTTATTACTCTCAGTTAGGCTCAATTACCCCCTCACTGACACCAATCCTTACTGTGATACCAAGCCTGTAGATCCATCCTCAGCCACATGCTTCCCCTGCATTCTCTCGCAGTTTTGACTTAACATCTCAACAGGTTTGTCTGTTTGTAGGTGGTAAACTGAGGTACATAGCTGTTTTACTTGCAGTAAGGTGAACAGTTTGGTAAAGAGTAACTGAACATGTGCAGATTGGCCTGTAGGTGTGCGAGTGAGAAAAGAACTCATGTAATTTGAAAGATTCACACCATTGATGAATTTTGTTCCTGTCACCTATGACCTGCTGGAACACGTCAGAATATACTATAAGAGAAACTCTCTTCTGGACTCTCAATGTGGTTAGAGCATGAACCAGAGCTTCATCACATCAAGTAAATCCTTCCAGTCAAGTTTTCTCCTGGACTAGTTCTGGGTCTGTGAGGTTTGGTTTGTCTGCTGGTTTTGGTCCTTAACCCACACTTGTGTCCCTCTGGGGAAAATCCAATCTCACTCGTGCTCCTGTGAGTTCGGCCTCTGTCCTGTTGCGAGGATTGAGCACGCTCACTGCTTGCTGTGTGCGGTTGGATGGGTCTATAGCAGCTTAACCACTAGGACTCTTTCTTGGTCAGCAGCAGGTTGCTTGGTGAGCAGCAATCTATGAATAAGACGTCCTTATTGGGATGCTTGAAAAACTCATGCTTCACTGGGCCTCTTTCTCTGCAAATATCTCAAACATATTCCAAACATTTGTGCTTCCACAAGACTTTGAGCTTTGTAAGAAATTGGTAAATGCTTTTTTTAAACAATATTTTGTGCATGTGTTTGGAACATCTAATTGCTGTTAACTAGGGGTGTTAGGTACACAGATGTCACGGTTCGATATGATTTCGGTACAACAGGAAAAAAACAACAAATCTACTATGCTAGGTTTCTTTTCATTTATTTTGAACAGACAGTAGTACAAATTAAAATTTTTCCACCTAGATGTGAAAATACTAAATATTATATTAAATTATAATAATATATATATATATATATATATATAAAATCTGCAGTACATATATACATACAAGGAATAAATACCTGAAATATATTTGATTTAGTTAACAGATAAACAAGGGAAAAAACAGGGCGACACGTAACGTAGCCTATATATTTTGTGACGCTTAATTTGTTCACAGAAAGGAAACTCAAATGGCAGAAAGCGACATCCTATTTGTTTTCTT